TGGGGGGGGTGTACACAGGAGTTCGTGGGGTTCGTGGGGTTCTTGGGGTTATGGACCCCACAAAAAACAAAAGCTGACTGCTGGGCGTCGACCGTTGGAAAGGTCGGTTGGTCGTTCGCCGACCAATTCAGGGATGCCAACTGTCGGCATGACTACTCTAAAATAAAATAAAAAACGAAAAATTCAATGCCTGCTATTATAGGTGGGTTTGGGCACCCTCCTTGCCAAATGTTCCTATCAGTTTAAACCATGCATGCAAGTGCATGCTGTGCCAACAATTGCACGCATAGGGTGTGCAAGCGCACTGGATCCGCGCACTGCATCGCATGTGCGACACATGGGGAAATAGGCACCCAGAAAAGAAGGGGTCCCCAGGCCTGGACCGGTGGTCACATGCGCCCCCTTTGAAAATTTGTTCTAACAGGGAAGTAACGTTGCCACCTAAGAGTCAAGACTGATGTCCCTAACACCTTTTTTGGTGAGAAACTTCGAGTCCAGCAAATTGTGGTAAACGGGGTGATATGAGCATACCCCTTGAGTGGGTCCCTGTGTTGAAGGCTCCATCTATTGGTTGGGAGCTGCACCTGCTGGAAACCGGGTCCAGCGTCCCATTATGATACATACTGGAAGATTGGTCAGTGTCCCATTGTGATGATGGTATTTCTGGTTTTTCTTTTTTTTTTAAACAAAGATTGGTGGTCACATGCGCCCCCTTAAAAAAATTGTTGTGGGATGTTAAAAAAAAAAAAAACTAACAGGGAAGTAATGTCACGCATAGGGTGTGTGAGCGCACTGGATACGTGCAGCGCATTGCATGTGCGACGCATGGGGAAATAGGCACCCAGAAAAGAAGGGGTCGCCAGGCCTGGATCGGTGGTCACATGCGCCCCCTTTGAAAATTTGTTGTGGGATGTTTAAAAAAAACAAAACTAACGGGGAAGTAATGTTGCCACCTAAGAGTCAAGACTGATGTCCTGAACACCTTATTTTGTGAGAAACTTTAGTCCAGGGAATTGTGCTTAACGGGGTGATATGAGCATACCCCTTGAGCGGGTCCGTGTGTTGAAGGCTCCATCTATTGGTGGGGAGCTGCACCTGCTGGAAACCGGGTCCAGCGTCCCATTATGATACATATTGGAAGATTGGTAAGTGTCCCATTGTGATGATGGTATTTCTGGCCTTTTTTTTTTTCTTTCAAAAAACGACCGGGGTCCCTATTAGGAGCGGTGATATGAGCATCCCCTCCTATTAGGTCCTCCAGTTGCTCCATATTGGTGGGGATCTGCACCTGCTGGAAACCGGTCCAGTGTCCCTTCTTACAGCATTTTTCACAGTCTGAGAATATAGGTGGGGGTCTGCCTCTTCTGCCCCCCCTGGGGGGCGCCTGATCCTTCGTTCTTTACTAGCAGTCCCATTCCTTATCAGTCAAGGTTGCTGTGGCTGTTGGTCTCTATCCAGCAACAGTAGATGTCTGGTCTGGGCATTCTCTGCACTCTCTGCGCTCAGCTTGGTAGGATGCGTCCTACGGAACACCAAGAGCTGGGTAGACTATAGCCCAGAGCAATCGATTGCAGATGTGGCGCTTGATCCGGCAGCCTGGAACTGGCAAACCCGAGGGGCCAAACAGACGAGGCAGAGTTCAAGCTTCATATGGCATGCTCAGGCCCAGGTTAACATCAAGGACGTAGTTCAGGACCGACGGGGGAGGCCCAAACACCTATTAGAGGCTGTTTCACAATAGTAAATTATCAATACGCTGAGCGCTGGGTGGATCCCCATAGGAGAACATGTGAAATCACGAGAAGGCCACTTTGTATGGAAAACTGGCTAGCTCAGGGAAGGCAGTGGAAACTACGGCCTGTAGGACACTTTACAACACCTCTGTTGGGTGACACCTCAAGAGCGTCACAGCAAGGGGGGACCATCTCCCCTCTACACCTCTCCTCCTCTAGTCTGCCCCCTTCCCTTGAGCCCACCTCCCCCCTCCCCGCCCGGGCGTCCTAGCCCCCCTCTCCCTCCCCCTCCCCTGTCCCAAGCCCCCTCTCCCCCCCCCATTCCCAGACATCTCCCCGCCAACTTTCCACCCTCAGACCTCACCCTACACCAGCAGCTGGCTAAGTGGAACAGGTGAATACAAGGAGCAGATAAATGTGGTCTAAGGAGTGACAGACTCGACGTCGTGACACAAGGCAACAAGCGACATCATTCCTCCCAGCTGTTCCCTGAACAGGGGCCAGGAGCAAGCGACTACAGCACCAGGAGAGGTAAACAGCCGGAACGGGGCCTGTTAATATTCTCCATGGACAGGAGGGCAATCTATCCTCAAGAGTGAGAGGAGGAAGGTATTGTACAGCAAATGTACAAGGGACGCTGGTCCCGGTCGCCATCACATGCTGCTCCCTGCAAATAAGCCTGGAGCCACCACAAAGGGGACATCCCATCAGACATAGGCTCTTATCCCTGCTTGATGGTAGGCCATAGCAGCCGTATGTTAAAAAAAAACAAAGAACTGTAATGACCTGCCAAAACTCAGATTGAGAACACTGCTGATTTCTGAGTTTTGCCGCTGGAATATATTCCTTGCTGATATTCCCGCGTTCTGCTGAGTTTTGTACGTCTGTGTGTGTGCGTGCTTGCTGGCTCGTGTGCCTGTGTGAGTGCTTGACGGCCTGAGTGTGTGTGTGACCTGCCAGGGCACTTGTTTCTTTGGGAGGCCCGCAGGGCTGATACTTACCTGAGGCCGTGACTTCGGGTTTGCAGCGGGGAAAGCACTCAAGTGGCCGAAGGGGTAGCTTAGGGCACACTCAAGTAGCATAGTGTCAGTACCGGTAGAGTAGCGGTAGGCCGAGCAGAAGAAGACAAAAAGTTGGTTCTTTTAGAGGCCCAGTAGCAGTAGGCCTAGAGGTAGGCGGGTACCAGTCACAGTACCCTGAGTCTACGGCCTGTACGGACAATATCAGGGCCTGCAATGATGTTTACCCCCGAAAGGGAGGAGGTACCGGTTGCTTGGGAGGCTGAGCGGCCAGGAAGCCACCGCCCAAGAGGCAAGTGCCTTGCTACATATTTGAGGAGAGCTGGAGGCTCCTCCTCATTTGCAATATGCAAGGTTGGGCGTCATGCTGCTTGAGCAGGCGGTGGTTCTCAAAGTGCCACTCGAGGAAGAGCGTTGGGTGTGAGAGGGTCTTCACCCAGTTCGTGCGGCGAGTGCAGATCCCAAGGTTCGATCCCTAAACCTACCCGTACCCTTGTACAACTACCCATAGACCCCGTGTGCCTTGAACCCACGACCTGTGGCTAAGAAGTCATAGGTCAGCATTCCGCGTGTTAGTCAGGTTGCAGGGACTTGAACCGCAGTCTTAGTTTTTAGCAGTCTTAGGGTCAGGACTAAGTCGTAGCTCTAGCCGCAGCGAAGGGTCAGTCCTAAGTGCCTAGGACCTTCTAGAACCGTCGAAGCTGGGTCTTTGGAGCTATAGGAGGCAGTCTACAGTCTAGCTAGTCCAGTCAGCAGTCCCCAGTCCCAGTCCTACCTAGTCTAGTCAGCAAGTACCAAGTA